CTACAAAGAGACATCAGTTACAGTATAAATCAGTCCTGCTCTGGTTGAAAAGAGCAGCATGACTTGAGTGGAAACAGGAAAACAACAACAACAACAACAAACAACAACATAGAAACAAACAAAAAACACCAAAAAAAACAAAACAAACAAAAAATACCCAAACTCATGGTAATCCCCTGGCTTTTCTTTAGAGTTTACTAAAAAACCTTGAAGTGCTCAATAGGTGACTTATCTTGGATAGTTATTTTTGTCAGTAACATCCTATAGTTACTGTTCTCTGAAATTCTGAAACTATATCTAGCACATTTACAGGAATGAATGGTTTGTTTTAAAGTATTTAAAGGACTTTGGACTACCTCCAAAGACATACATTTTGGAAAATAATGAAAGAAAATGGAAGAGAGGACAAAAGCTTTAGATAATGGGGAAATAATTTACTGGAAAAAAATTTTTTTATCTTTTTTCTTTCTAGGAAGAAGTGAATTAGTTTGTTAACCTGTTGCAGTGTTTAAATTTATTAATTAAAAATCAATAGATATTATTTAAAAATAATCATAAAATTAATAATATATTAATAATTATCAATAGAAACAAGAAATTAGTATAAATTAAATAATAAAAATAACTTAACAAAACATAACATTTAAATAACTTTTAATTAAAATTTAAGGAATATTAGTTTGAAGGTGCACCAAATTGTTTAGCTACCCAAGGCAAAGGTTTCTCAAAGTCTGAATTAGAAGTCCTCATGGAGAGAAATGTGAGATCAGGTGGAAAAACATGTTGAGGTTAAATGATGGAGATCCTTGAGGCTCACACCTGTAATCCCAGCACTTTGAGAGGCTGAGGCGGAAGAATTGCTTGAGGCCAGGAGTTTGAGACCAGCCTGAGGGACACAGAGAGACCCTGTCTCTACAAAAATAGAAAAATTAGCTGGGTGGGTTGGCCCACACCTGTAGTCCCAGCTACTTGGGAGGCTGAGGCAGGATAATTGCTGGAGCCCACAGTTTGAAGTTAAAGTGAGCTATGATGATGCCACTGCACTCTAGCCCAGGGGACAGAGCAAGACCCTGTGTCAAACAAAACAAAACAAAAAAACAACAAAATAAAACCCTGGAGATCCTTGAGCAATAGTCTCAAGCACTCAAATTTTACCCCATGTTCAGGAAAAGACCCCTGAAGGTACCTGAGACAGTGAGGAGAGTAATGTTTAGGAGGGCATCTCTCCAGATGTAAAAGAGGCCAGAAAGGGAACACAGGGATACCAGGTACAGACCTGTTGAAGTTATGAGGCATGAGACAGTGACAGTCTAGCCTACAGGTGATTTAAGAGTATTGGAAATAATGTGATACACCTTGAAAAAAAATTAACAGTACTTTGTGACTGATCAGCTAAAAGAGAAGTTCAAGAAGGCTCGGGTGATAAGCATGAGACACCAGGTGAACAGTGGCACTGTCACAAAATGAGTAATTTGAAGCAGACAGTTTAAGCTCATTAGAGAAATAAAGGTTGAGTTTAGGTGGAAGATTTAGACACACCAACAGCACATGTATTAAATCAGTATGTAGTTATGGAAAAGCTATGTGAGAAGTTTCTTCTCCTCGGCTCATAATAATATATGTTCATAAAGGGACAGTCTCCACAAAATATGATGGCAACAACACCCTTTTTCATGGTATACAACAAAGAAATATCCAGTGAACATATATTCTTTTCTGCTCTCTTTGGTCCTTCACATATGGATCTGTGGACCCAACTGACTCATGACTTACGTAACAAAGAATATACGTGAGCCAAATTTGAGTGACCGCAGTCTGGGAAACAGTTCCAAGTTACCTTGCAATGTGCTCCAGAGAACAAAAGAGAGGCTTGAGCTTTTAAAGAAAAAGCAGGAATCAGGGCAATTACAAAAGTCGTTTTTCAACTATTATAATTTGTGTGATGTATCTATCTAAAGCAGTCTTGGAGTCAGAGGATAGGTTGTGACAGTTAAAAAGGTGGCCGATAGTTAGGGACCTCAAAGTTTAGCAGGAAGCAGGAAGCAGATGTTCTGGCAGTTGTTCAGGCTGAAAGTTGTGACCTCTAGGGTCAAGTATTCTCTGAGTAAGGTATGCCTGAGGCTCAAGCCAAAATGGCCTCCCAGCTCCATCTTAGGTGCCTTAACTAACCCACTGCCATTTTCTTTTGTCAGATCCTAACACCATTTTCTGTCACATCTTGAATATAACAAGCAAGAATAAATGCATCATTTTAAATGTAAGTCCAAGTAAAATACTCTTTACATTCACATATTTTTTCTAAACTGAAATAAAATATTCCACATAAAACCAATTATTTTTCTTTGCTGAGCAACACATTTATTATTCATTTACTAAAAAACATGTTTAGCACACAGATATGTTACATAGAAAGATAAACTTTTCAGTTTCTCACTGATTTTTGAAAAAGAGACATTTCTCAATGTAGAAATGTATAGTATGTAGAACTATGTAAATTGAGACATCAAAAACACCTACATCACATTTTTTAAAAATTGGCAAGCATACTTGGCCTTAATAAAACTAAAATTCAACCAGTAGCTTTGGAAACACTGCATTCTATGAGATGTGCACATGTTTCTTCCAGGAAAACCTACTTGTTGGTTCCAAATGACGTTTATCTATAGGAGTAATTCAAAAGCAATGAATATTTAAACCTAGTGGTGTCAAGGGGATAAACAATAACCACAGGCATTAGATCTGGGAAGAACTGAGTTTTTAAAATAGACAGGCATTCTTATTGAAAACCATAAGATCAAATGTTAACTCTAGGCGCTCAAAAGTTAACCCCACGTACACTTGGAAGAGTAGTCTTGTTCATTGGATTAGCAATGGCTAAATTAGAAGTGATGACATTTTCAGTTGCCTTAGGTTGCCATTACTATTACTGTCTTAAAATTTTGGAGTCCAGCTTTTCATTATATATAAATAAAATTAGTTTCTTTTCATTTTTGTGATAGTCCTTCAAAAGGCAAGAACTTGAAAGTATAAAAAAGTACGGAATATAGTAACAAAAGGACCAATATGTGGAGGAGAAAGATAAATGAGTAAACTAATTTAGCTCAACTAGCATTCATTATTATTCCAATGGCATTCTACTGGAAGCTTACAAAGACAGAGGGGGACATGAGAGCCTTCCCTATGAAGTGAAAATCTATGCAGGAAGACAATAAGTTCTCTGTGTGAGATTCAATAACAAAAGAATAACATTTCTAAGGTAAAACAACATGCATAATAGTGTATGCCAAAGAACGGAGAAAGTCTGATGTCATCAAAAGAGTCTCCAAAATGAAAATGTATCTGTGATCACACTCTAAGGGAGGTGTAGGATTTGTCACAGAAACCCTAGACAGGAGAATAGCATACGATAACTTAAGTGGAAATTCGCAGGCTGCTAAAGGGCCAGGAATAACTCAGGGAAGATATAAAGAGCAAGAGCAACAGGCAAGCCATGCCAGTTGATGGGGGGGGGGCGTGAATAGAAGGCAGAAGCACAGGGGTCTGATTCAAGAGCTAATCGGGAGCCACTATAGGTTTTTAAGCAGGAAAGTAGCTTCAGAAATATGCAGATGTTGTGCATCCATTATGTCAAAACAATCTGCTAGGTTGAATGAAAATTTGATCAAACTCATGTTTGCATGCACAGGGTTTGATCTGGCCTTTCACTCAGGAGGCATTATGATTGACATGTGATGTGGTTCATATCTGATGAAAAGCTAGATTTAAAAAGTCTATCTAGTCATCTAACAACCCCACCTTTTAATAAACTGACACATACAGCATTTATAGTTGACTATGCTGAAATTATTGCAAAGATGGTTCCCTCAAATTTATTCCCAAATGATCAGCTAAATAAATGTACATAGTGCTATGGACTGAAATATGTACCTCCAAAACTCATATGTTGAAACCCAAACTCCTGGTGTATTTGATCTTGAACATCTCAGCCTCCAGAACTGTGAGAAGTTAATTCTTGTTGTTCAGGCCTGCAGTCCCAACCCCTGGGCCATGGACCACTGTCAGTCAGTCAGTGGTCTGTTAGCAACTGGGCACACAGCAGGATCTGAGCAGCAGGCAAGTGAGGGAAGCTTCATCTGTATTTACTGCCACTCCCCATTGCTCGCATCACCGCCTGAGCTCCACCTCCTATCAGATCAGTGGTAGGAGTGCAAAACCTACTGTAAACTGCACACGTGAGGGATCTAGGTTGTGTGCTCCTTATGAGAATCTAGCGCCCGATGCTCTGAGGTGGAGCTGAGGCAGTACTGCTAGCAGTGGGGAGTGGCTGCAAATACAGATTATCATTAGCAGAGAGGTTTGACTGCACAGAGACCATAATACATCAATTGCTTGCAGACTAATATCAAAACCCTATTAGTGAGTGGTAAGAGACAATGTAATAACAGAAATAAAGTGCACAATAAATGTAATGCACTTGAATCATCCTGAAACACCTCTCTTCCCCCACCTATCCATGGAAAAATTATCTTCCATGAAACTGGTCCCTGGTGCCAAAAAGGTTGAGGACTGCTGATTTAAGCCACCCAGTCTATGGTATTTTGTTATGGCAGCCAGAGCAAACTGACATAGATTATAGCATTATAAACAGTCTTGGACACCCCACTGATCCTCTCTCTCCATGCTTTTCCCTAAATTTTTCATGGCTTTACCTTACATGGACAGCAGGCAGGGGAAGCACAAACTGATGTTTATCAAATGTTTAGTTAGCATACAGCATGCTAGATGCTGTATATACATTGTCTAATTTAATCCTGGTAGGAAAATGTGACACAATGATCTATAGAAAGTGTTTCAAGACAACTTTATTGAAAAAAAGTGATAGAAACTGTGCACATTTTATAATCCACAAATTTTCTAAATAGTATACATATGTAACTAATTTTATATCTGTTAACCACAGTGGACAATGAAAATAAAACACCCCTCGATAGCTTTTTATTAAGGATAATCAATAATTTATTTCTCTTTTATTGTCACAATCACCACAATTATCTAGCTACATGACCAATGTCACTACGTATCACAGGAAGATTGTGCCTACACTTTACTGAGACAAAGACAACGGCCATTTATGTGTTAAATGTACAATGGGTTGTTAAAAAGAGGTGTGGATTTTATGTGTAAGACAAGATATGGCACATGATTAATTATTAACAGGTCTGATTTAAAACACATTCTGCCAAGAAGCAAGCATAGAAATGTTTTGGCATTGGGTTCTTATTAAAGTAGAAAATAAGCAAACTAGAGAAATAAATCCAGATTTTAACTTACAATAGATACATTAAAGTAGGAAATTAATTGGCTCCTCAGTATTTTTGTGCAAGTGGTTTTTTTTTGTTTTCTTTCCTTTTGTTTTTGTTTTTTTTTATAAACGAGTAATACGAATATATCACAAGTTAAAGAAAGATCTTAGCCAAAAAGGAGGGTACCCATATATGAAAAACAAATGAAAAATTACCAGGTATTTTTGCTTACAAAAAATTCAAACTATAAAGAGTCACAAAATATATATAAAAACGCCACATTGAACGAGGCAATCATACTCTACCGAAACTGGTAGCACCCTCTTAAAACCAGTCGCAATCCATTCCCTCGGTCATACAGTGGTGACTGACAAGAAGGCATTGTGCACTCTTGTGCCATCAGGAGACTTGGCCCCATGGGTCATCAGTTCTTGGATTGTCATCCAGTTGTCCAAAATTTTCTTGTTCCTCTTTTTCATCATCTTTTTGTGGCTCAGTTCGAGGATGTTGATCTCCTTCTTGCCCTCGCTGCCACTCTGGGGACTCTCCTTGAGACACTCCAGCCGGCTCCGCATCATGAACTCCCGGCGCCGCCGCTGCTCTTTGGCCCGAACCAGGTGTTGCTTTCTCTCCTCTTTGCTCCAGTAGCGCCCCATCTTCATCTCGCTCATGGTGTCGTCGTCTGTGGTCATGCCACTGCGCTCCTCCTTGATCTTTAAGGCACGTTCCTTCAGAATCCGGTCTCGCACGGGTCTCTTCGTGATGTACCGTGTCCCGTCGCTCCGAATCTTCACCTTCCACTCCATCTTGGGCTCTGAACACTTCTGAGACTCCTTGCACATGCTCACCAAGCTGAGCTGGCTCTGAGCGTACTCGACTGCAGACTTCTGTTGAATTAACTGCATGTAGCTTTGATAATGCCGGGCGTGAGCTGGGATGTTTGCGTATCTATAGGAGGAGCTGTGGTAAGGAGAGAGGTAAGGGATGTGTTCGCTGACTGTCTTCTCTTGGTCAGGAAGCTGGTCACTTTCCAGTATCTTCTCCTTGCTTTCCATGCTACAACCTTGTTCAGTGGTTTTGGTTTTGGTGGCGGTGGACTCCTTACTGCTCTGTCCAGAAGAGGACTGATTGGCTGCCATTGTGCTTCTCAGGTTTTTCTTATTGGTGAGGTTGATCATTCTTGGAAGGGAACTGTCAGGGGAACGGTCTACAGTGAGCGGAGTACTTCTGCAGCTCTCAGCTGTGTTGTAAGCGCTAGAACTGTCCTTGTCTGACTTTTCTGGATGTTCCATGATGTCATCTAGTTTTCCCCTCTGCATATCTATGCTGGTGTTATAATTTCGGAATCCTCCGTCATGCAATGCCCAGATGTCTCCATATTGGTCTGTCACTTTCTGGAGCCTGTGAGCCTGCATGATGTTCTGGCACTCGAGTTCAATGTTTCTCAGCTCTTCATTAAGCAACTGTAGTTCATGTTCCACTCCCTCTTGCTCCCCTTGATTGCATTCAATTGTGCTGCTCGAATAATATAGGTCATACTCTCCATGGTTTCGAATCTTGCATTTGAGCTCCAGGAGCTGCCTGAATCTTTCACACTCCTCATCTTGGTTGCCAGTGCAGTCGGAGTCTACGTATTCACCAGACACGAAGCTCTCATTGCACTGAAGTTCAACGCTTCCTAGAGTGTCTTGGCTCTGCCCCAGCTCTCTCTTGCTCTTCAAAGAGGTGCTGTTGGGGTCCTCAGCTGCGTTCTCCTGCTCTGAGCTCTCATCATTTCGCAAGCTTTCGTCTGTGCGCCCCACTCCGCTGTCCTTCTCATGGTTGTTGGATGAGGATGTGGCTGTGTCTGTTGTGCCTTCTTCTTCTTCTTGCTTTTTCGGCTAAAAAAAATAATGTTGAGAGAACAAAGAAAATTAATTGCTTTGAAAAACACTGTCAAAAACTCGCTCGAAAACAATGCTTCTTGGCAGTTCCTAGAAAGCTGCTTTAATTTTAGTATCCATGACAATTTTAGAAATAAAGACGATTAGCTCACAGCAGCCTTTTATGCAATGAAATAAAGAAAACAAAAGCGGCTTGAATATGGCTATGGTATTCACTTGGGTATCAGTAAGACAGGACACATTTAAATAAATGATTCTTGGCTTTAGGTTTTTTTTTTTTTTTCTTACTTGGGAAACTCTGGGGTGAAAATATATACATGAAGTGATTTTATGAATTTCTAAGGTGATAATACTCCAAAAGATAAAACAGAGTGTCTAAATGGTCTCCAGGAATATGGAAGCCTAGAGTTCAGAAGCCACAATCACCTTTTATATTTTTTCCTAAACTTTCCTGAAGTTCAGAGAAAACTTCAGTGACAGTAAAGCACTGATAATGGTAAGCCAAACATCACAAAGTTCCAGGCCTATGTTAACATTATGTACTGGAGCCTAGAACCTTCCTATTTATCGAGGAGGAAGCTTAATTCCAGAGGAAATCAGGTTATTAGTGATAGAGAGGTCTAGAAGGCAAAGCTCCACCTCCCAGTGCCAGAATTTCTTATATGTTCAGGATGCCATATTCCTGGATATACGTGCTCTGACCGCAGTGCATCTCCAAATCATGTCTCTTAAAAGCAGCGACAACCTCTTAGGACTCATTTGGGTTGCATAAGAAGATTTTTCTACTCTTAACCAGCAATTTCCTTCAGAGAAGAGTTTTAGTCTATTGAGAGTAAAAATGACAGTTTATGTGAAAGCCTGAATAGCACCAATTGCCAGACATGGATATAATATAAAAAATATATTTTTGACATATATGTGTTTTATTCCCTTGTAATTTTTGGCTTTTGTGCACAATAATTAACTGTCACTGACCTAACAAGATGCATATGTATTTATTTCTCTATAAATAGGCTAATGTTATTAGTCTCTTTCTACTCTAACACTCACCATACAGTATTCTACATGGCAATTTCTAGACTGTATTTAGATCATTAAATATGAAATGTCCAATTTAGAATCAAGAGTGTAGTTTATTATATCTCAAACAAGAAGAAGGACAATTAATCAAAGTATGCACCTAAACTATCAACACAGTTTTGTCATCTTAATGGTAGCAGTGAAGAAGCCTGGAGAGCAAGTGGTGATGAAATCATGAAAGGTGTTTTGTACAGTTTTTGAGAATTGAATATTTATTCTAGCAAGACTTGGTTCAAACCCTGAAAGAAGGGTGCAAGTCAATTGGTTCAAGGTCTGGTGAACATGGTGGATGACAGAAAGTTTCCAAGTCTAGCCTCTATAGTTTGAGCAGCATTGTTTGCGCATCATGTGGTTGAGCGTTGTCTTGAGAGAGGATTGGCATGTCTTATTGACCAATCTCAGCTGCTTAATCACAAGCATCCTCATCATTTCATCCAGTTGGTTGCAGTAGACATCCACTGTCATCGACTGACCAGGTTTCATGAAGCTGTAGTGGATAATACCAGCAGGGCAGGACCACCAACAGACACCATTAGATTTTTTTGACAAATATTTGGTTTTGGACTGTGTTTCGGCACTTCTTCTTTATCCAACCATCATGCCCAATGCTTACACTTGTCAAGCAGAATCCATTTTTCATCACACATAAAAATACGGTGTAGAAATGGTTCACCTTTATGTTGTGACAGCAAAGAAAGGCCAGCTTTGAGACGATTTCTCTTCTGACGCTCGTTTAATTCACATGGTACTCATCTACCCAGCTTCTTCACCTTGTCGATTTGTTTCAAATGGTCCAATATTGTTGGAATAGTAACGTCAAACCTTGCTGCTAATTCACACATAGGTTGAGATGGATTCGCTTCCACTACAGCTTTCAGTTCATCGTTATCCACCTTGGCCTCTGGTTCCCCACCCACGTGGCTCATTTTCAAGATTAAAATGATCAGAGCAGAACTTCTCAAACCATCGATGTACTGTGTGTTCATTAGTCTCATCCTTCCCAAACACTTTGCTCATATTTCAAGCTGTCTGTGCAGCACTGGTTCCATAATGGAACTCATATTCAAGAATAACACAAATTTTTGACTTATCTGTGGTTTCACAAAAATTGCTCTAAAAAACAATTTGAAAGATAATCACAAGCCAAAATGTGAGTTTGAAAGAATGAGGATGTACCTTCACAATAAAAATAAACAAGAATTGTCAAAGTGAAATGTCAGAGATTTCAATTGTCAAACTTAGTACTTAAGGAAATTGGACATTTCATATTTATCAACCTAGTATTTGCCTTATGTCTAACTTTGCTCACTATTTTATATATATATATATATATATATATATATATGTTTTCCCTTTAGCAGGTATAATTACATAATTAAATACAATTAAGCCTGTTAGTGTTAAAGAAGGATGGGATAGGTGATATGGTGATAAAAGGTATTCTAAAACAAGTCTAAAAGGGTCTATTTAGAGAATTATTATTTTGTTCCACATAAGTAATGGCAGAACAAAATGTAACGTAAATTGGAGAGAACAGAACAGGACCATGTAACATGTTACTCTATGATTCTCAATCTTTCCTTAGAGTATTTTCCTTCATTTGTTGAAAACACACTGAGATTGACTTTAAATGTCTTATTGACAAAAAAATTATAATAATTATAACTAAGAACAGAAAGCTTGTTACATTCCTCTGTCTCTGACTATAAGCTGATGGTAGTATCCAATGTGGTAATATCTGTATACTATGCCATAAAACCCTCAAAGGCTATTACTGGTATGGACATTTGAGTTCATGTATCACATTATTTATAGTTATTTTTTCTAATACCTTATAATGAGCTGAAGAAATACAGGAAGACTAGTATGTTTTTGCTTATTTTACATGCAGTTCCAAAGGTACAGAGAAGTTATGCTATGGGAGATGTTGCACAACATGTCAATAGCAGCCATAGGACCAAGGACAGTATGTAAAGTGAAACTTTCCATAAAGTAGGTTTACAAACGGATATGTATTTTATTACTTTAATTGAATTTCCCTTTTGTTTTTTGTCACTGGTCTATGAGCAACTGAGAAAATAAAAAGAATTTTCCATCCTCAAACCTAGAATTCCTAGTTTCTAATGTAATGTCACTCTGTCATTTATCATTTCCCTATGGTACTATGATAGTGACAGGCAATGTTTCTACCCAGACATTTCTAATGTAGTATTATTGTTTATAAGGGCAAAGGACTTTTAAAGGTTTCTGTACTTCTCATCATTTTTCAGTCTCATGGTGAAGAAAAATTTCCACACAATGAGAATCTAACCTCAGGGACATCTCGTGTTACCTCAAAAGACCTAACATTTGTATTACGTCTGATGAGTAGGCAGCATTTGACATCATATCACTTCACCTGAACAGGATTTCTCTCTTCTTTCTTTATTCCAACATCCTCCTGTCAATTCTGTATCAGGTCACACTTTGTATCTAAGAGAGAAAAAGCCTGGAGCAAGGACTTTCCTGCTTCTAACCAGCAGCTGCCACCAAAAATATATTTATTTGTGACCAGTGTTGAAGTCATGCATAAAAATATCAACCTGTTCTACCTATATTGAAAAGCGATCAGCACAGTAGTGGTATCACTTCTGAGCACATACTACTGTTTGTGAAGTGGCCAATGAGCGTTCACGATCAGCACATGCGTATATCACGCACGGCTACATTGACACTATAGTTTGCAATCTCATGATTTATTTAATATATAGACCTGTGCACACACACATACACATACATTTCTGTTATAGGATGTTAGCACATCAAGGGATCTTATTATTCAGCTTGGTAAAGTGATAGAATGTTTGTGTTTCATGTTTCTGAGCCTGTCAATTTTTTTAAAAAAATTATCTTTTAAGATGTGCTAAGAATTAATGTTGAGAATAGGATGATAATTAGTGAACTGACAGTGAAATGTTAACAAAATTATATCAAGCAGATGAATGACACTAATGTGACATAAAAAATCTAGAATATATTGATCTTGTTTTTATTCAGTGGGAAAACAATAACAACAACAACAACAAAATGAAAAGAATCTTAAGACTCACTTTGGCATAAGCCACATTGTGATCTTTAACTAGTTATGAATCAATTTGGGTAGTGACTCTGCCCATTTTTCTTTGTATTCTCAGTATCAGGTCTGATGCTTGGAACATCTTAGGACCTCAAAGTTGTTGTTGAATGAATATGTGACCTTAAGGCAAAATTATGTCAATAATCTCAAATTATGCTATGGGGAAGGTTGCACAATGAGTTAACAGCAGTTATAGGACCAAGGATCATCCCTGCAATTATTCAGGGGTACATAGGTGTGATTACGTCATCAAGTACACAAAGATGATTGATGGCTTACATCATGTCATCATCGTCTTACTGTTATAGTTTAAATGTTCAAATAGATACATTAATATTTTAAAATACAAATTTACTTTTTGGGGGGAGGGGTTACCTCATGTATATGGGTAGTCTCCAGCTGACATTGAGAAGCAACACACATTTTTACTGTTAAATTTCTGCAATTAGGTTGAAACATTACCTGGATCAACATTTGAATACGATTGTACTATATTAACAGTGGGCCCTAAGCTTCCAAAACTGAAGATATTCTTAATAGAAAAAATAGTTACTTATTCCTTCTGCTTCATCTAAGATGATCATGTGCTCTACAAAATTACCATTACAGAGATGTTTGATCAAACCCTTTGATTTTGTTTTTTCCCCCCCTCCATTTATGACTATATGTTAAAAAAAGAAGTAGTGACGTTTCAAATGATTTAGTTCAAATTGTTGACTCTACCTGCTCCACCTCATTGGCAGTGTGCTGCATTGCTTCATTATGCTGTTCTTCCAACATCTCCAAGTTTAACTCCTCTAAGAACTCATTCCTTTCATCTTCTAGCCAGCCTTCATCCAGCTGCAAAAGAATACATTAGTACATTATATTATATTAGTGAGAACTCATGCTAAAACAGGCTAAACTTAAATGGCCAATGCCTGACCGGTTCCTTTTATCATAATGATTCTCTTCAGAATAGCGGCCTCCTATAGTTCACCTCTCAGAAAGAAGAAAAGGTGATAAAAAAAAAAAAAATTGGACTCTTATGCCTTTTATCCTTTCCAGAAACAGAGCTACAGATTTTCTCTCATAACTTAGTAAATCTCACGGCATAGAACATTACCTTCTTTCAAAACGTATGAAAAGCATACTGCATAATCCACAGCTGTCACGCTCATTACCTCCAGCAGCCCCGTGTTAAAAGGACTGCCACCGTACTAACAGGGCTATGAGACAATCGGGCTTTTTCCCTTAACAACAACCCCCAATGAGACTACACACAAAGTGCCCCCTGCACGCCCATGCTACCCTCATCCTGCTTTTTTTATTTTTAGGCGATGGCTTCCACCTCAACAAGATGGCTGCCTGCCACAAACGCATCTACAGACAACATTTATTGTATCTGTAAAGAAAGGAAAATTCTAAGTTATTTTTCTCAAAAAAAAAAAAAAAAGTAATGTTATACCATGTCTATTTTGATTGATTTTTCAGAACCAATTCCAGGGAAGCACATCACAGCGGAGGTGACATTTAAGGGTGGCGGGGAGGTGGGGAGTGTGCAGGGTTTTGTTTGCGGGTGTTGGAGGCAGGTTTTCTTGTGGGATTCTCCCACAAATTAAACTTAGCAGGTCCCTTTGGCTTCTCGATGCAAAGTGAAGTGGAAAACTGGTGGTTACCTGGCTAATATGATCAGTGTTGACAGTCGGTACAGATAATTTGCCTCCGAGTGGATTTTTGGAGCTGGATTACGTAAATTAGCTGTCTATGCTGATTAAATTAACTGGATTATTGTCAAAGCTCTGCTTTACTCTGCGCTACAAAGAAACAGCAGCTTTCCAGTGAGCAAAAACGGACAAGAGTTTGAGGTGTTTTCAGCAACAACCAACTGGCAAAGTAAGATTGTAAAGATAACTGGACTTGTAAAATTTAAAAACAAAAACAAACCTGAAAGGACATTAAACTGTACCAAAAGAGGCATTAGCATATATGTGTCATATTCATTAATATTAAAGTAAATCATAGATTTCATAATTTCTATTAAAGGCCATGGAGAACTTAAATGACCTCAAATTTAACTGGGGCCAAAAGCGTGGCACATTTATTCATCCTTATTTCTCTTAATGCTGCCTGAATAACTTGACCAAATTCCACCCCACTGCCTTTGATATGCAGATGAGCTATGATAATTATGCTGACAAAAAAATGTAAACTCAGTCCAATTTATAATTGTCCAAATTTTACATTCTTTAATCTTTTTCCAGTGTCATAAAGCTGCAAATGCCAGACTCCAAATGAAATTACTTAAAGCTAGAAATCTTTACATTTTATAAACACACCAAGGAATTTTTCTTTAATCAGGCCAAAAGAAAATATTTCCTAACACTGATACAGTGAATGATGAAACAGAGTCTTTTGAGGTTTAAATGGAGTGGTGGGGAAGTTAAGGAGAACAAATGGTAGAAATTAATGATTCCCTGTAACTCTTTTCATATTGACTAACCCCATAGATTGTGGAGTTGCCATTTGCAGTTAGGGTATGTCTATTTTGATAAGGCTTTCTTCTGGGCTGGAGGTACACACAGTACAATAAATAAATGGAGATTCTTCCTGCTTACTTCTTATATTTCTCTGTTCACCTAGACATGCATTTATGGCAGTGTGAGTCCAATGCTGTGGCAGAGACAGACATCCCCTTTGAGCTGAGCTTCAGGAAAAGAAGGATTGCCATTATTATGTAGTGTGGATCTGTCTGCAGGGAAGGGGACCACACATGGCACCTCTGAGAAAGGAACAACCTACACTGTCTCAAAAGTAGTGACTACAAGTTCTTATAAGAGCCCTCTCTGCCCCAGTGTCCTGAGGGAAATAGGACAGAAAAGTAATATCTGTAATGGTCTCTGGAAAAAACTGGGCAGGAAATGAAAGAGAGTTGACAGGGAATGTAGAAAATGAGTTATTTAAAAATATTGCACAGATTCACAATACTGCCCCCAGCAAACTGTAGATCATTTCCAAGAATCTAGACAGCATTCAAAACATTTTTTTAAAAAAGCTAGAAAAAGCATACAAAAAGCTTCCACATTCTCCCTGAATAAAATACACATGCAAAAAAAAATATGTAATAATGAGATAAATTAAATTTTATGGAAAAGTATGGGTAATATAAAGACAAGATTTTCTTTTTAGGCTTTTTATTAAGGCCATTTAATAGCTTATACTGCTTATATTACATTTCTAAAGTGTGGTGTATTGTTTTTTCCTGATTTCTCTAGAAATCTGATTTTCTATAGGCAATTAGCCTCTCTCCGGTGGCATGAAGCCTTCTTCAGAATAAAGGAGCTAATGTAGATCCTGATTTTGACAGGCAGGACGGCTTCCTATGGAGTCAGATGATCATCTTTTATCAACTGTGGAGAGGACGTCTCATTTGAAAATTCATTCTTCAACATTGACTCTTTTTGAGGAAAAGGTCAGGAGTGTAGCTAGATATTCACAATTGCCACTGATTCTACCAAGCATATGTATTCCACCAAAGATTAACAGGATCTGGTCTTATGCCATTAATTTCTATTCTTTTCACAGCCCATTATGGCCATTATGTGGCATAGTTTAAGGAAACGCTTTAGTCCTAAATTAATGAGGTTCCCTAGCAGTTACATGGAAAAAGGGCAGGGAAACCACATTATAATAAAAATATCTTTTCTACAACAGGGGTGGCTACTGAGTTCTCTTCAATTTACCATACATTTCACTAATATGTATTTAGCTACTTTATTATGTTCTTTTTCAAGAAAATGGGATCAGTAAGATAACTGGTTTGAGAAATTTCCAGATAATTGGTGCGATTTCATACGTATTTTAAAGACTCACTCCCTCATAGGCAGTGCAGCCAGTTGTGTGGGCTTGTTTCCCTACTACTGAGACCTCAGGTGGGTGACTTTACTCTGCCCCGGGCTATGGCAGACTTTATGGGGACCATTTGGAACGGTCAAGGGCATAAAGGAAATATATGCGGAAATGGTGATCTTTTATAACCACTATATTCAAGTCAGGACTTGGTCTGACACTGAAATACACTTACTCAATGTAATTTATAGACAGTATGTAGTTACTGAGTCTGAAAAATATCAGATCAATAACCCGGGAGACAAATGGCAATATAACTAACTTTACTCAAACTACTGACAGATGGATAGAATGGTGACAATGCATTGTCCTTTCTGCATTGCGATGGGATAGAAAAAGGACATAAAAGGAAGCACCGATAGTACTTTTCTTCCACCATTACCTTTCCTTTACTTTCATGACATCTTCCTCTGTAAAGATATAAACAATTCCTTTAGAGGCTATCAGTTTGTTTTTGGCTGGACAAGTGTTTTTCTCACAACTAAACTTGGAAAAAAAATTCAGTTACTACACTTGGAACCACATCATGCTGTATAAGACATTTTAATTCTAAAAAGATTTAAGTTGATAGCTAGATAGGCTAATGTTTCTCTCTTCAGAGATTCTTTCAAGATGCCTTAGTATGCCAATTAAGTATGTTTAAATAGTAACCTAAAGCAAGGATCCACACAATTAAAAACCATGTAAAGTCAACCAGTTTTCATCTGTGAATTTATTTAAACAACTGGAAAGTAGGAGGAGAGAATAATGACTAAATTTTGTCTGCCTTTTATTCCTCTCTCTTAAATGGGATATTTAGCTGTCATTCTGTGGCGTAAGAGAAGGGAGTCTTTAACGTATAATTTTTTGGACAAGGCTAGTAAGTTACAAAAGATCAGTCTTTGCTATATTTTGTATACCACACATGGTTTTACAGATATCCATGACAGTGATTTGATATAGAATCGCAGATAAAGAATATAAATTCATTCATGAATTTCCAATCAGTGAATTCAGTGACCATCAAGTTTGGTCTCAGGACTTCTGTTTTCTGTGCTGACCTGAATGTCTGGCCTTGCAACAAGCAGCACGATTCTCTTACACTCGTCGCTAGACAGCAAGGCCACCGCTTCTTCTCGATTCTGGACATCTTCCCCATTTATCTAGAAAACAAATGAGAGTGGCACATTAGTTTCCATTTCCACAATGCTGCACACAATAAATGGCAAGTATCAGCTCATTTTTGGTAAATGTATGGACAATGAAGCTCACACAATGGGCTCATCCTCAGCCTCTCAGCGGAGAGTGCCTTCACTCAATTACGCGCTTACTGTAAGAGCCATATCGATCCCTGAAGGATGGGGAACATCAGAGGAAGCAGTTATGTTCATAAATGTCCAACCTGCGCCCTGGCAACATACATCTAGCAACACAATTAACCAGCCCCTGACAGGTGACGTTCATCTTTCTCCGCTCAGAGTAATGGAAGTGTCACTCTGAGATAATAGTGCCGGGGAAGGCAGGACTGGCAATACCACAACTGAAATCCGTCATCCTGCACACTCGCTGCGAGCCAATTAGAGAGCTGCGGTATTATCTCTCACCAGGCAATGCTCCCAGGCCACTTCTGATTGCTTTTTCATTTAATCATTTCGTATTTGTATGTGGGGCTGACTCAGTTGCCCAAACACCATTCTCGGGGTAGCTCTCAGTGCTTAACTAATCAAAAGAAGGAACAGTTCATCAGTAACATCCTCATCGATACTCCAGTTTCCTGTCTAAGATTTATCCAGTTCCTAAAACAATAAAATGAATGAAATATCTTAAGATTTACCTCTTAAGTACAGTTGAAAAATTTTAAAAATTAACATGGAGTAAAATTGACTTTCTGAAACAACGATGAGTGAAAGAAACCAAGCGTAAGTAAACTTTTGATTACAAAGAAAAGATTCCATGGGCATTTGAAATACATCTTTTTACTTTTTCTAAGTTCTAAAGACAGATAGTAAATAAGGCTTCTAAAGTTTGTATTTTAAACTACAGTTTCATGTTCAAATTTATTTAGCTCTTAGATAACATAATTTTTTCTTTGGATATTTAAAAATTACTTTCTTTTATTGATTACTGAAATCCATAGAGACAATAACATTTTTGATCCATAATATATAACCAAAATATGTAGAAATTTCCACTGAAGAGATCAAGTAATTCTGTCTAAAATAAGCATTAATTACTTCAATAAGCAAACAGATGGAAAAATGTGGTTGCACTGACCATTTTTTCAATAATTAATATAATATCTTTCACTAAGTATGTCTGCTTGAAACCATGAAGTAGCCTACTGAGGTTTCCTCCTTGTGGGTCTCTGGGATTATAGCTGACACATGATGACAAACATAATTATCTGAAAACAAGCCCAGGAATCTCACTTTGAACCATAATAAGTCATCCTTATTCCTAGACTCTCATATATATTTAGCACAAGGAAAGCAGCAATAACAGTAAAAACAAATCACACAACCATATGTAATGTTTTCTTACTCTGATCAAAATGAGTATCACCTTCATTTTTCACTTGTATATGTAGATAGGATATTCAGCATTTACAAGTTTCATATGTATTCCCTTTTTTTCTTTGCAATTCACAAATAAAATTCATCAAACTAGGAAATAGAAGCTATGATTCCAAAATGGGGAATAATGACTGAGTAGGATATGTCGTGGCTTTTTGTAAATATATATGAAAAAGCATCTATGTGCCAACTCCAAGGCCTTGTTTTTTTCAAATAAAGATAAATTGGCACTGGTGTATTCTACCACACTTTCCCCTCCCCTGATTAAGTATAGTGTTAAAATAATGACTTGACAAATTTTACTCTCTTTGAACTTGGAGGGCTATGTCTGTTTCATAGTAATTCTCAGGAGTATATCTGTAGTGCATCTATTTGTCTATCAAACACTGACCTAATTGTTCATATCCCTTTCACTATAGGTACGTTTGATCCTAAGAGAATTGAGTTGGGTGATCTCACACAGCTTATCTTCATCTTTCTGTTTCAAATATAATTCTAAATCCTTTCTCCCCTGATCTCTCTCTACTCGAATATATATGAGCTTCCCCGTTCCCCATGCTTCATCTAAATTTCGCTTACCATTAATCTAAATACTCATTCACATTAGTCTAATGTTGCTATTATGTTCACTACCTTAAAATGCAGATAATAATAGTGCTTTTCTCAGGGGTTTTTTATAAGAATTAAATGAGTTAATACATGCAAAGGGCTTAAATAGTGCCTGGTACATAGAAAGTGTTCAATGTTGGCACATAATATTACTGTTGATGTTATTGTTGTTATTACTATTATCATTTATATTTTAATCCTCAGGAAAGACAAGACTTTTTCCTGCTAAATAAAACAAATATAGTTCAGTTCATGGGCAATAATTGAATCCATAGGAGTAAACCTGGTTTTATTTTAAAAGATATCTACCTCGTATGTATTTTTTAATCTTAGAGGGCCATCAGGAAACAATATAGTTGTGTTTAGTTCCTTTACAGTTCGTGGTCATCTCTGTCCTCCTATTGACCAGAGCAATGATCTCTGGTCCTGGCAATCAGTCCTCGTTCTGGGAGAACAGACCATCTGTTGCAGAAACATTTTATATTCAGGATCGTGCCACAGAAATCTGGCATTAAAATGTAATTTATTGTTTCTTTTCTTAAAATAAGGGCCACTTTAGCCAACTAGCTGGTAGATCCTATTGTACTCAAGAAATGTAGCTATGAGTTTCAGCAAAGATGTCTCTCAAGGAATGATAAGATTTGAGGAATGGAATCAGATAGAGCTTTCAACCTTCACTTGCTCTTGTTCCTGAAATAATGGTTTATAGTCACTTGTGGGAAAGCAGTTCTATGGGCACGAGAACACCAGGCAGTCAAAGGGGTGAAGGCCGAGCAACCAGGGAAGGAGACAGATGAGTAGTCATGTCATCACACTTACTGGAGGACTTTCATTTTATGAAAAGAGAGGGAAAGAGAACCAAGAGAAAGATGGCATATAAGTTTTGTCATAGATGAGGAAAATCTTTGTAGATAACATATCTACCTTATTTTCTGTGCATGGGCATATGTAAATATTAGTTTCAAAAAAGACCTTGCCTTGGCTCAGAAGAGCTGTGGTACTTACACAGATAAATCAATCAAAATCTCACTTTAGGCCCAAACTCCTATATGTGCATCAGAGTATGCATGTATGTAAAAGCCTAAAAGTTTAGAAGTGGCTTAATATAGCTTTTCTGCTTAAATAAATCAATTTTTAGGTTTCCTATATTATTGTACCAGAGGCAGGTGGATGACTAAATTCTTGACATCCAGCCTTCTATTTTTTAGGAAAACCCAGTAATCTTATGCAAAAGAGAAAAGATTTATTTCAAATGTGTTTCTATTTTAGCATGGAGGCAAAGAAGGTAAGTGAAGTATAGTGATATAGATGTGGAGAGAATAGAAATGGGAAAATAGCTATCCAAAGGGGAGAAAATAAAAGACTAAAAAGAATCACTGAGGACCAGTTTATGTATAAGGCAGTGAAAAAAAGAGAGAGCTCATTAAAAGTTTTATTGTTCCACTGTTCGAGTTCTTGCTGAGTTTGGTCAGGAAGTAATCCTTAGGAACACAAATGATGTTTTGGCAGATGTAAGATGAGGCTGTTTACATGGAATATTACCTGCTTACTATTCCAAGGAGAAAATGAGAACATAGTGCTCTCTCCTTTGAAAAGCTGGTCATGTTTATGATCTTTAACCCTTGCTCTCTGATTCAGAAATGCTTTATTCATCTCAGAGAATGTCCTCAGATTAATTCCTGGGGACACATTTGATATAAGTTCCTGGAAATGACACAGCAGATATTGATAGAACTGTCAAGAAATGAAAAGGAATAGTTTTCCTTGTAGAGAAAAAACAAAGGAGGACCAGAAATGTTCTCACCAAAGTGGTTCCTGGTTTCTCTTCTACATGATCCTTACCCTACGTCAGTCTCCTGTGTGTGTGTGTGTGAGTGTGTGTGTGTGTGTGTGTGTGAGTGTGTGTGTATGTGTGATTCACTGGGTGAACTCACCTCACAGGCCCATGGTATGTTACATTAAGAAAAGTTCAGCTACACATTGAGGACAGGACCACAGACATATTCTACTTGGGTCATCATGAACAGAAAATCAAAATCACAATTCGTTTAAATAAAAGCCAGCCAGGAAACTTAAAGGATAAGAAGCAAATCCTCTGTTTCTCCCACTCTTATCTCCCTGGGAAAGGAGTCATTAATTGTTCATTACAGGGTATCCCATAATCTCCTCATCAGCCATGAGGGAGCTATTTGTCTGTGGGTACAATTTTGTCACAGTTTTACTTAACATAATTTCACTCTCACCCTGAAGACTCTTTGTTTCCTATGTGTGCGGACAGAATTGAATTCTGGGCTTTTTAATGTGACACATATTTACTCATTAAGTGTGACATATTTGTCACACAATATAAAGTAATCAGGCAGAAAACAGTACTTGATCAATCCTGCTATTGTTTCTTCAATGAATCAGCTCCATTAAGGAATGCCTTATTATGCAGTAGACATGTTCTTTGAAAACTTATCTGCCAACAATTTAGCTAAGAATTTGAACGTGTCAAAACATACAGTGTGCATATATGGACACACTTACACTTTATTTCCATCCAACTATACCCATAGAACTAATAGATGCAATTTTAATAACTGCATTTGTGTATCTAGCCTATGGGAGGGTGGTTAGTTGGAAACTAGGAAGGAAGCCAGGGGTGCTGGGAGGTGAGGAGTGTGGAGAGTTGATGGTGAGACGAAGAAGTGACAGCTGGCAACAGCAAGAGAAGAGTAAGAAAAATGACAAAAAATAGACCAAATACATCAGAAAATGTAGCCAAATAGGGCCATTTAATGCCAGGGCACACATCTTCCAGATCTTTCAGCCATTTTACTCTATTAGAGCATTGTATAATGATTGCTGGGTATAATGTCACCCTGAGCATCAAAAGTTTAGATTATTTTCTGTAGACTTAACTGGAGGTGTTAACAAAGTGAACAAAACATATACAAATCATTTCAAAATTTAAAAAAAATAATAAAACATTTTTGAACTTTGCTTATCTGGATGATGTACTAAAATGGTCCCTTAATTTCTTGATGAGGCTACACAAGTAAAGCTTTTCTGCAGGTTTTCATTCTATATCTTATCATTCTGTCTACCAAATACCTTTGTTTCATTCACTGATTTATTCATGTGTCTGTGTGGAAGAGGCCAAAAATGTGGTGGCAAACCAGACTGTGTCTTGGCTTCCTGATCTACTTTTCCTTGCCCTGACAGATGACAGACATAATTCCATTTTGTTTAACCACAGATCACTCCTTAGGGAACTCACTGAAGGAGAAATTATATACTCTTGAGGTTTTCTGAAAACTAATGAGACGCCAAACGATCATTAATTCATACTTTTTATTCTTTCCTAATTGGAATGTTAGTAGAGGATCCCCGGTTTAAAAAAAGAAAAAGAAAAGAGAAGAAAAAGGAGTTCTGCAGCATCTAGCTAAAGAAAGAACAGAGGGTGAAGAAGTGGTGTGACTGGCGAGTGTCACCGTAGGAAGGGAGAGGAGAACAGCAGAAGGCTGGGCAGGACGTGTGCCCAGGCAGCTCAGGCACGGCTTGATCGTGACGATGTCACATTGCACCGTGATCATCTGTGTCTTCCTAATTACACAGGGAGGGGGTACCCCAAATGCTGGGAGGACATCTTGTCTATTGTCTATTTTTTTGAAGCCCTGGTTCTCGGCAGAGTGTTAAATCCAAAGCTGTGGAATCCAAAGAGTCGCCCTCCAGGGATCTGTATCTAGCAAGGAGAAAGGAGAACTCTGGAGTTGTCACACTGTCTAAAAGTTTTGCAGAATGTGTTTACAGCCTGTCACCCCCTCTATTTATCACTCAAGTCCTCCTCTCTGTTTCACAGTCGTGATCAGTGGTGAAACAACCTGAAAGGGCTTCTGTTCTTATTTTGAGGTTGATCTGAGCACAAGGGCTGGGAAGGCTGGGTGTCTTCCTGCAGCCTTTCTTTATGGGAGGGGACTCAGAAAGGGTAGAGCAAGTTGAGGTAGGTTTAGGACAGAAACCAGCTTTCAGTTATTCCTGATTTGGCCTGAAACTCTCTTTCTGGCCCCACATCCCTCCTATGATCTGCTTATCATTTCTCTCATTAACTGAAATTTAATCAGTCTCCATGTTTTCACATTTCATGTCAGGAAAAGAACACATTCTCCTCCACCTGGCCCCAGCAATTCCTGAGTAAATATAGCCACGCTCTGCATAACAACCTTTCAGTCAACAATGACCCATATATATTATGACAATGGTCCCATAAAATTATAATACTATATTTTTACTGTACCTTTTCTATGTTTAGCTATGTTTAGATACAAAAATACTTGGCATTGTGTTACAATTGCCTACAGTATTCAGTACAATAGCATGCAGTACAGGTGTGTAGCCTAGGAGCAATAGGCTATAGAATATAGCCCAGGTGTGTGGTAGCCGAGACCTATGGTTTGCAACCTCTTGGCTGTGGACCAGTAGTGGTCCATGCATGGCCTGTTAGGGACCGGGCCACAGAGCTCTGCTGCACCCCCACCCAGTGGAAAATTGTCTTCCATAAAACGGGGCTGCACATCAGGAGGTGAGCAGCGGGCAAGTGAGCGAAACTTCATCTGTATTTACAGGCGCTCCCCATCTCCTTCATCACCACCTGAGCTCTGCCTCCCCTACCCCATCATCTGTGGAAAAAATTGTCTTCCATGAAACCAGTCCCTGATGCCAAAAAGGTTGGGGACCACTGGCCCCCTTACACCATCTAGATTTGTGTAAGTGCACTCTATGATGTTCACATAATGACAAAATCACCTAACGATGCATTTCTCAGAATGTATTAAGTGACACATAACTGCAGTTGAAAATTCTTCAAACTTCTAGACTTTCACATAGTAAAGGAACATCTAGATCTATACTTACCTAATTTATTCTGGAAAAAGTAGCAATAACTGATGCTGCTAATAATACTGGCCATTAATATTTATTAAGCACTTATGCACTGTGCTAAGCATATTACATACATAATCTCATTTAATATTCACACTAATAATATATGATTAATTACCATGATAATTTTTATGATAAGGAAATGGGCTTAAGATGAGAGGAGGTTAGATAATATGCCCAAGCAAATGGTGGAGCTGGAAGTGGAGATCAAGTAATCTGACTCCAGATATTGTATCTGAACCACTAATTATCAGCTAATAACTCCTAATAAATGGCATCATCCTTAATTTTAAAAGTTTTAAATAGTAGATTTTTTTTTGTTTTGTAGATGCTAATATCCAAAAGCGAAGACAAATTCTTTCCCCTAATATTTTATAAGATACAATATAAAATAGAAACTGTTAAACAGACAGTGTGAAACTTAAGAAAATAACCACACCACATACTTGCAAAATGCGATCCCCTTCTCGAATTCGGCCGTCTTTGGCAGCAATGCTGTTTGGATCTACCTGTTGGGAGAGGACACACATCTTCAATTAGATACACACTACCTTCCCAAGAACTTAAAAATATGGTGCTTCAAAATTCTCTAATGATTTATGACAGTGCATGTCATATTTTTCTCCACTGAAAGTCAGTGGTTCTAAAAATGTAAATGAAAAAATTTTAAATTTACAATAATAAAATTTAAGAGGACTATAACAGAATTTACTCTGAAGACCATTTTTTCTCAACCTTCCTCCTACTCTCCATTCCTTCCTTCCTTTCTTTCTTTTTCTCTTCTTTTTTTTTACATTCATTTACTCATTTCTGTATTCCAAATGTCAGATATGGTCTTCAGCTGACATGAGATGATGTTAATGCTAGGATTCTCTGGACCCAGGACATTTACTTTTTACTGAGGTGATTTTTAAATCCTGCCTTAGCTGTCTTTGAAAAGCTGATAGCTATGCTGTAAGTCCATACTTACTAAAGGGATTTCTGTCTCATGAGCACATTCATTTATAAAGAGATTTATAATCTATATTACTCAATAAACAAAAAATCCCATTCATGCATTTAATTATACAGCACCACTTTACATACAGGGTGAAGGGTATTAACTGTAAATTATTTTAGCATAAATATATATTTAAGGCTCTATTAGCATCTTATCAACATTTTAATGGTTCAAACTTGAGTGAAGAGTTACAGTTGACTGGAAGAAATTCCATCTATCAGATTTCACATGGTGGCTTCAAACTAGTTATTTAGGTTTGTCACATCAAAGCTTTTTTCAAGAAAAGTATTTCAAGTGTAGCATGAGGTTGATCCATCCTCTCCAGATGTTAGATAGGACTTTTTTATTAGGGGCGCTAGCTAATGACTGAGTCTTAAGTGATCAATCAAGAACAAAATACACTATAATTATATGTAAGAGGTATAAGGAAAACATTTCTGCCAAATACATATGTTCAGATCCTGTGGCTTCTTTCCCTTCCCTAAAAAGCAAAGTGAAGTTACAAATCTGACATATTTAAATAGTAAATAGAGACTTATTAGGAGGAAGTGAGGGGTGATTAATCAACTGTAGCCCTTCACCATCTAAAACCTTGTCTTTAGAACTGTAATCAAACTAATATTCAACTTCTGCCTTTCTACCTCTGTAGATATTACAAAAGATAATTTAGCAGGTGTTTCTGTATACTTCCTCACCTCATTCAGAGGGATTATCCTAGCTGTACATTTAAAAGAAGTATATAGTTAAATATTCTCCAGATATTTTTTTCCATTGGAGGAGCCAGTCGGTAAATTCTTTGGTAAAGTGATAAAGAGTAAAATTTTACATTCATAGATCTGTGTAGTTTTCTGAGTTCATTAATTATGTTACCTTTTCCATATTCTAAGCAATGGTATAAAAACATTGAGATAAGCATTGTTATACTGTTTCTAGTTGAAGAAGCTAAAGTTCAGTATGTTACCTAATGTTAAGATCATGGCCAAGAAAACTTGGAACAGTATAGAACAACAATTAGTGTTTAGTTTATATATGTATGTATGCAGGAATTAGATCCTATTTATGCATATATACATACATAGGTGTTTTTATGTATCTTGTATATTTTTCATGGTATGTATATATAATTAAAAATGTTTTCCTAATTCTCATAAAATGATGCTTCTGGGAGTTTTAAAAAATCACCTATGGTAATAAATTTTGCTTCACAGTCTTTCAAAGTAATTAACACTAAAGGTGTGTCATGTTTAAGTATCTCACTTGTTGAAAGTGATTGTAAGGTTGAATAAAACAAATTGATAGATCCATTCCTTGGCTATTCAAATTTATCAATCCCATCAGCAAAGAAGCGATTATTGTGAATAATAATTTAAAGCAATTAGTCAATGCTATTGTTAACAGAACTCATAAAAGACACAGTGGAATGGAAGGACAAATGTTTGCAGATCAAAAGTTTTGCTGTACGTCCTGCTTTCTCGTGGGAATTAATTCAAATTGAGGCATTGTTACCACTTTTGCACTTTTCCTTGCTGGGATTCTGGGGTGAAAGCATCCACGTTAAACAAGCTGATAATAATTATATTACTTGGGCAGAATAATTTACCTTCCTAATTGAAAGTGACAGGTTTTGGAACATGGCCAATTCTTCACATTCAAGCCTCTGAGGGAAGAATTTTCTCCTTGTGAGTCATTTCACGCCATTCCCCCCAGTCTCGCTCCTCCTATGTCCCTCCTCGGCATTTCTTACCCTGCTGACATAAATGCCGGTGTCTTCTTCATCATCTGTTCGGTAACAGACTGTCAGGCCCAGCTTCTCCTGACTGTTAACACGACACAACTCGACCTCCTGAGAGAACGACACATGCAGAACGACAGTTATGTCGGAGAGAAACCCACTGCAGAATGGAGAACTCTCTGCTAGTCTTTGGGCCCCCCTGGGAAGTTTAAATAATTATTGCCCAACGTTGGAAATTAACTTTTGTTATCAACATTGTTAAAATTTACCTTAAATGTGGATTTCTACATGGTCAAGACAATATTTTATATTTTCATGGTAAAGCTGATTGGAGACATGCAATTTTTTTTTTTGTATCAAGTCATCAACTTGAAACCCTTTAAAAATCATGCAATCATATATAAATGAAATGTGTTTACATCAATAAGCTGGAATCAATAAAATACTTGAGAATGTCAAGGAGGGAGCACAATGTTCATAAAAATATGGAGAGTTACTATTAAAATACTATTTGTATTTTAATAAAACCAAATAAGTTCAAATTGAAAAAAAAGACTATATTGAACTGTTTGCATCAATTCTGCTTTTGAGTTCTATATAATATGATAATAAGCAAGTGTTTTCTGTAGGTCAGGCCAAGGTTTTCTATTATTTTGTAGAAACTCCTGCCCTTGGAAAGAAATGGGTTCATCCAGGCTCAAGGGAGAGACATCAACAGCCATATGGAGCAGAGGCAATGATTCAAAATGTAGCAGTAAATGAACAAGAAAATACATTTACTGAAACACATGGCTAAGGGGCTTGAAATGTCAGTCCTTAGGTAATGTATATTGAATTCATTTCCTGATTTATGCTCAATAAAATAATAATAAATTTCAGTGCATTTCATTTTTATATAATAAAATGGACTTGTACTACTTTCAGAAGCAGATGACTTTAGGATAAATCACATAATTCTAAGCATTAAAGCACAAATTAGTGCTCTAATCATGGAGAACTTGTTCCTACTGGATGGAAACTATAAGACCCTTTAGCAAATAATCAGATGAGGAAGAACAAAGTATATTTAAGTTGGAAGTGAAATCTGCATCAATTTCTAGAACTTAGGGTCTCTTGAGAGTGGTGAATTTGTCTGTCTTGCTTAATGCTCCTTCCATAGTGCCTACAACAGGGACAGCTTCATTGTGGGGACTCAGTAACAATGAGCTGAAAGGTGATTGATTTTATTTCAGAATATTTCCTGGAATACACAGCTTTTTGTAAAACAATAATTAAGTAGTCTTTTCTCTTTGATTGGAAATAGGTGTGTGTGCGCGCATGTGTGTGTGCAAAGATTATGCAGTTTGGTGATGATAGAGTGTCATAGTCTAAATGTTTGTGTCCCCCAAAATTCATATGTTGAAATCCTAACCCCCAAGGTGATGCTCTTAGGAAGTGGGGTCTTTGGGAGATGATTATGTCATAGGGACTGAGCCCTCATGAATGGGATTAGTGCCTTTATAAAAGAAGCCTCAAGGAGCTATCTTGAGCCTTCCACTGCATGAGGACACACCGAGAAGGCACCCTTTACAAGGAAGTAAGCTCTCACAAGACTGAATCTGCTGGCACCTTGATCTTTGACTTCCTAACTTCCATAACCATGAGAAATAAATTTCTGTTATTTATACTCCACACAGTTTATGGTATTTTGTTATAGTAGTCTGAATGGACTAAGACATAAACTATTCATTTAACTGACCATAAAGAAAAATTTACTTAACTTCAAATAAGAGAATATTTCCCAGAACGCTCTGCTACATTTGAAGAAATATCCTCCCTTTCAATTTCATATTTCAATGAAGTCTTTGTTACTGGATAATAACCATTTTTTAAAATGATATGCTATAAACCATGGGTAAAACCTTAGCAAGGGGATTTGCTCTCATAAAGTTCAGTGACCAATAATTTCACAGCTAATAGCAAATAAGACTGAATTTAAATCCTTTCTCCTGAGACAGGTACTGCAAATTGGTGAAATGAATGAAACTGTGAAGAATGCTGACTTTCGGACTGGTGGGCAGATACTTTAAATTATATTATAGTGTTTAAAAAGGGTGTGGTATATACTGAACAGTAAAGAAAAAAGGTGAAAAATCCTTTCATCTAGACATAGACTAGGAAACAGTGACATGATTTGGCTCTAGATGCAAAAATGTACACACCAAGAGAAGGTTTTTCAAAACTGGCAATAATTAATGCCTCCAGAGGGAAAGAACACTTGACTAAAAGTGTAACATTAAGAAGGAATTATAGCAGCAAAAGAGCTTCAATTATAGCAACAAGGTATACAGTTAAGGAGCATCTCTTAGTGACTCCTAAGAGACCTGTAAGGAAATCTGCTCACATCATAAAGAGCTGAGATTGGGACCCTTAAATCAAGGCAAACGAAGAGCTGTAGTCAAAGCTGAAATCCAGATTTTCAATGTCCTGCCCAAGCACGGGAGAAACTCCCCATCCAGTGGGAAGACATTTTCAGAGGGCGTATTCTTTTTTGAGTGTTTTCTCCACATTCTCAAGGGAGTACCTTGACCTTGGTGTTTGTTTAAAAGATGTATATCAAACTGTTTTGCAATAAAATGGAATGAATCTATTACAATGAGAAGGACAGAATCCACCAGTCAGGCTCCAATATCACAAATCAAAGCATCTAACCAAGAATCACAGAGGAAAAGAGACTGAGATCCTGAGGCCAAAATAACTTTTCAATATTTTCATCATATTGGATATAATCAAAATTGTGAAACAGGTCTCCAAGTTATCTATTAATACACAATCTTTGTTTTCGACATTTCTCCTTCTTAAGATACTCAACATAGCTATATTTCCTTTCAGCTGCCTGGAGACCCTGAGGTCTGAGTATTTTAGATTTGCCATTTGCCTGTCCCCTCACAAAATCTGACATTTGGCATAGTTTTTTATTCTCTTACCAGTAGCTCTTGAGACGCAAAGAGAATTGATAAATAAGTATCTCTCAAAAGGATCATCATTAATAATGACTTAAAATGTGGCCCAATTGGGGTTTGGTTCATACCGATAGAGTTTGAAAGTGTAAAGCCTTAATTCAAAGGACTGAACTTTTTGGCAGTAGGACTTCATACACTGAAAAAGACCTAGGTGAGATTCTGTGGATCCCACAAACTACCTAACATGAGTCCCAGTTGTGAACTTAGTTTCTTTCTTTAGTTGAGAACGTCTTAGACACTACTTATTTCATATTGGTACATACAGGCATACATTTTAGAATCAAAAGTCCTTTAATTCTATGACAAAATAACATATAAGCAGCTACCTGTGGACCATTTTGTTTGGATGAGGCAAAGGCGGCTTTGTAAATACTCTGATTACCTGAAAGGAATTCTCCAGCATGGGTCTAATTAAGCATTCCCTTCACAGTGCATGCAAGCCTCTGACTTCTGAAGAAACAACCTCCTGGTAATAGAGAGTGTTTTCCCTAACAACTTTCATACCTTTCCCTCTGTTTCTAGGAAGCTGTTTGATGAACGACATAAAAGTGAAACGCTACCCCTGTACATTTTCTCCATGGAGACAATTCACGGGCGTATACAAATCAAAGTCCAGCTTGCGTGGATGGCAGAGCTAACCATCCATAAGTCATCCGTGACTGGAGTAAAAGAATCACTTCACACACCTGGTGAAACTACATTCATTTTTGACTGAAATGTGCTTCAGGAGGCTGTGTTCTGGGAAGGTGTCTAAAGTCTCTTAAAAAAAATCAAACTGCAGTATCTAATTCAGTGGGAAACTGATTACAAGTCTTAATAGATTGAGGGTGGAGTAGAAGATTAAAACTAGATAGTAAAGCTTCCTGTGAAACATCCTTCTAGTCACAGAATGAATGACAAGAATGGGATTTTTTACATAAATTGGTTGTATTAGAGTGCTGTGAAATTTTTATATATTTTATGATTGCATCTAGGAAAGAACATGAGACTTTAAGAAGAAAAAAAATATTTTGCAGCCTATTGGGCAGGTGGGAGGGGGAGGGGGGTATATACATACATAATGAGTGAGATGCGCACCATCTGGGGGATGGTCATGCTGGAGACTCAGACTTGTGGGGGGAGGGGGGAATGGGCATTTATTGAAACCTTAAAATTTGTACCCCCATAATATGCCGAAATAAAATAAATAAATAAATAAAAATATTTTGCTTTCTAGATTGAACTCTCTTGCTGGACAAACAACAAGGCTTTGACAGTGCTTGCAATGGCTTTTTAAGCAAAATTGTTCCCGATCTCTAAAGAATACTCAGGCTCATGTCATAAAGTTTTTCCTCTGAGTGAGAAGATTCGGATACAGTCAGCACTACGCAGTGTGAAGAAGAACCAGGGGGACATAAGATGGTCGTTTATATCATCATACAATCAGAGAAGAGAGAAATCTATTGTGTCAGCATATTTATTTTATTTATTATTTTCCTGGTTTGCATTTATTAGAAAACACATACACTTTTATAGAGGCTTAGTCTTATATATCATCTTATCTTTTGTAATGTTTGATTAGTAACTAGTGAAATACCATGTTTAGTTATTCCAACAAAGCCTTTATGTTTTTTTAAAAAAACAATCAAGTGGGAAAGGTGAAATTTTTAACCCTCACAGTTAAGGAAAGCCTAGTCTGCTATAAGAATATTGTTTCAAGATATTATCTCCTGGATAATGGAAGCTAGTTCTAACAATAAGAAATAAGTAACAAAACTCTCAGACTACCCAAATATCTACGACAGAAACTTTTCAGGCTTTTACATCCCAACTCCAAACATTATTCATAACAAGTTGCCCCAACCAATAATTAAACCATATTCTGTAGAGACATCACAGACAAAAGCTGAGGCTTATGGTCATGCCTTTTTGCTAACACCTTTACCTCCCACTCCTTATCAACTACCTCTTTCCCAATGACATTGTCAAATATGGACAGCTTTTAATCCCCAATTTCCCTTCCTTAGAATTAGATTCTGGATTCTTTGGGAAATAAAGCAGTCACATTTTTCTAGACCCAGGTTAACTGCTTCTTGTTGTGGGCTGTGAATCACCTTAGCAAGTCATAAA